CTACAATGTGCCTTATTTGAACTAGGCTGTGTTGTGTGTTTCTATGCTGTGTGCAAACATCAACTTTAAAACTATAGGAAGCTTCCAGATGTAGGAATATACATTTCAGTGAAGAAGAATGACCTGGAAATCCAGAATCCTGTTAGTTTTCTGGCTTTTGAATTATATCTGATTAGAGTGGATTATACCTGCATCAATATACATGTGGTGTTTCAGCCTCTATTAACTGGAGGGCTTTTAGAAAACAAAACAAAAAATCTTGGGATGAAGGAGAAAAGGCTAATTTCCTATTTTTTAAAAATTTGTTGCAATATAAAATAAAATTGAACATTGTTTCTCATTCTGAGCCACTGTAAGTTGCCTGTATTTTGGCACTTGCACTTTCCCAGCTAAAATTTGGGGAATTGAAATTCACACATCTGAAAAGTTGTTGAGACTGAGCAAAAATGAAATGGAAAGTGCTGGTCATTTTTGTTTAGATGAGGTACAATAAACATTAGGGTTAACATTTCGGGGTAAGCAGGAGAAATACAAAATTAAAGAGAGAGAAAAGAGTCAGTAGATTCAAATCGTTTGGAAAGAAAGTTGCCTGCGATTTGAAAGCTAGGAAAGAGTTTCTGGAACGATGGAATACCAGGAAATATAAAAAGGAGGCCTAGAAAAGCATCTTGAAGGAGAGATTTGTGGAAGTGTTTTTGACTACATTTCCTGTACTTTCAGAGAAAAAGAAGAAGAAGAAGAAAGAAAAGCAAGAGCATCGGAAACATCTGAAAGAGGAGCCTGCTACAGATGTGCCTTTCCCCAAATCCAAGATTAAAGTGGAAAAAGAGGACCCGGACTATGAATGTTACGCTGGGACAAACCAGGAAACCTGGGGCAGCGCATCCGGGCACCGCCAGCAGAGTAGGATGCCACAAGGACAAGAGCTCAGATACGAGAGCGGGACAGAGCGACCTCAAGAAAGAGGCTCAGAAAGAGACAGGCGCGAACGCAGAACACCCTTAAACGAGGAAAAGCACAAGAAAACAGAGGCCACGAAAGATAGGCGCTGCTCATCAGGAAGCAAACTGCGCGATCGTTCAGAAAATAGAGACAAGCCTCCCCGGGAGAAATCCTCAAATCGTTATTAATTCAACTGCTGTGTATCTTCTCTCTTTGCACGCACGAGGAAAGGCCGCTGTAGGCTGTGTGCTCAGAACATTGGCTCTATGAAATATAGTAGACAGGGCAGACAGCACAATGTTAAAATTTGAAAATGCAAGAGGAAACTCTGGTGTGCTCTTTGGAGCAGCGGTTTGTCTTTCCAGAAAGGAAAACTACACACACAAAACAAAAACCCAGGTGCTATTTTGCCTCCCAGTAAAGGCCTGAATTCCAGGTGCAAAGCAGCAGTAGGAGCCTTCCCTTCCCCCACTTCAAAAATCTAGGCTTTAATAAATCCGCTTTTGAACCGTGTTGCCATGTCTGCAGCTTCCCGTGCCAAACTCATTTCTGCTGCTCGTCCTTTTGCATTCATCCTCCTTAAGTGGCGGTACAGAGGCGTGATGGTTTCAAAGTATGGTGGTTTGACATTGAAATGAGACACAGGGAACTGTCTCTGAGAAAAATGCCAACCCTGAGAGAACTCAGGTAGCAGTATTTATTGAGAAAAAACACAAGCAAAATATACAGTATGCATATTCAGAAAACAATGACCTCAACAGGAGATTACTTCACCAGCATGAGAACACACAATCTTGGAAAGTCCCAGATGTTACCTTGCTAGGGTGAGATCATACAGCCACGGAAAGTCTCATGGGAAAGTTTGGAAAGTCCCATGAGAAAGCACAACTGTGTATCTTGTACCTTGAACTTTCACCCATTTTCCTATTCCTTCTAAACTGGCAGAATCAAAACAGAATGAGGCACTCTGAGCAAAGATACTCCTACCCCCACCAAGAATGCCCACATCTTCCTAGACTTACTGCTAGTTATACAAAGGCCTTACAGAAAATGATAAAATGATTAATAAAATATATTACCACACAAAGGAGCTCGAGAAGGTCTGTGCTCTTGGCAGTTTAGAGTCCTACTACCGTGTGATGGGATGAGGTCCCGTCACTTGCCTTTGCTCCTGCCAACCTAGCGGATCGAAAGCATGTAAGTGCAAGTAGATAAATGGGTACCACTCCCGTAGGAAGGCAAACAGCGTTCTGTGTTTTGCACTGCAGCATGATATCATGCTGAAGAGTGGTGCGATGGCCTAGAGGTGGAGCTCTCGCCTCACATTCAGGAGGCTGTGAGGTCAGTCCTAGGTAGAGGCAGATATTTCTCTGGGCACAATGAGAATATATCTGCTGAATAAAGCTCCGCATTGGCGACAGGAAGGGCATCCGGCCAGTAAACACTCAGCTCCATTCAGTTGCCCAGATTCCACCCCGCACAAGGGAGTATGGGGTCATTAAAAGATTATGTCATGCTGACCACGACTGCAGAAACATTGGGCAGCACGGGCTCAGTGGCTTGAAGAAACAGATATGACCACCGCCTCCTAAAGTCTGCTACGACTAGCGAAGTAAAACTCGCAGGAACACCTTTACCTTTGCTTTGTTGCGATATAACTGCATGGCAAGGGATGAGCAGTCTTTTCAAGACAGAGACTGCATTCCCTTAGCTAAGCAATTGGGATACGCACACCTGACGCTGATTGGAGCAAAGCAGAAACTTTGGTTCATGTCCTCCCTCATCCCGAAGATTCATCCATTCATCTTCTCACATACACACGCACCCACATTCTAACAGATGCACATGCTCCTGTGTGGGTATGTTTGCCAGCTTGTCTTCTCTCACCCTGTCATGTTTGCTGGCTCATTTCTTACCTTTTTCTTTTCAGGCACTTTCTTTTTTTTACTAGCACTGTGCTGTTTCTATTGGTAGCAATAGCTGATTTATTTTTTCCCCCTGATAAGGGAAATGTGCATTTTGCAGCCTTATCAGGAGCAAAAGGCCCCAGGGAGTGTGACTTAGGCCCTTATCACCACCAACTGGGCTACTGAGTACATTTTAGATGCATATGCTTTTTAATATTAGAATAGAATAGAACAGAAATAGAATAGAAATAGAATAGAAATAGAATAGAATAGAACAGAACAGAACAGAACAGAACAGAAATTCCCTCATTCTGGACCTTTCTCCCAAGTGGAGATGCAAAGGTGAGGTGAGGTGGGAGCTCACCAATAATGTGTTTTGGGTGGGAGGGGCTTCTAACCTTGCAGAACAGTATCCCCCCCAAGTGGCTTGGTTGTTACTCAGCTTGGCACCCTTGCAGTATTGCAGGCAGTTCATCAGAACTTTTCTACACTTTCAATAATGCTTGCTATGCACATTGGGGATGACAATGGTGAGGGTTCATTGTTCATTGATCAATGAACATTGCCTCTTTGTAATACATTTGGTTTTCCTGCTGCTAAATTGTCAAGAGCTGCTCTGACTTGGCAATACATAAACAGCTGAGCAGAGGACATACTCAGGATGTGAACTGCCAGTGGGGCATCAGAGTAAAAGCGCACGAGCCTTGAACTGTGTTTAGCCCCCCAAAGGCCTGTTACAAGTCTTAAGGAGCTCCAAATGATCAAACTGTAATTTTGAATATATCAGGACATTTTTAAACACACTTAAGATGTATTATTGTATTCATTTTATGTTTAATTTAAAAATAATGGAAAACAGATCCGTGAATTTGCCTTGGTTTTCCCACCCTTTTTGGGAGTGGGTAAATACATAAAGTAGAAATACAACAAGCAGCACTGAATGAAGATCTGATACGTTTAATCAACACAGAAGATAATATGTTTTGGATACAGATATCTTTGTAATCTTTGAATCCTTTTTTTCCCCTGCAGAGAAGAGATTAATATTTTGTTAAGAATTCTAGGATATTCTGATGTAAGAATTTGCAAACCCCTTCTTCTAACGTTGACGTTACTGGGTTGGGTAATGCAACATCAACCCAGAGCTACAAATAGTCTTTTTTTTTTAATTGACCGAAGAAAAGGTGCATTTCTTCTGACTTTCAACTAAAAACACTGTACTTCAGACATTTTGCAAAGGGGCGGCAAATGCTGATGAAAGTGAGAAAGCCATAAAGTGTGACAATCCAAAATGCGTTTGCAAATGATGGTTGGCATAATTTGTTTTCTGAGGCTGCACACTACACTGAACCCTAAATGTAACGGGCTTCATGTGCAAAGCCACAAAAACTAAAAAGCTAGCCGAGCTTTGCCTGCTGCATGTACACATCTTGCCTGACCTTTTAGCAGGTGTGAATGCGGCCAACCCTCCATCCTATTATTAAAACTCTCCTTCCATTGGTGAATGCCCCACCAGCGGGAACTTTAAGCAAGATTTTCCCTATTACAGATGGAACTGCAGCTGCCTGCTCTTCCAATAGTATCATAGATGATTAGCCATTATAATTCCAAATTGTATGTGTGTGTTGTGTGTGCAGGCAAAATCTTTATTAATTTATTAATCTTTATTGTTTATTGCTTTTAATTTTTGCCTTCTTTTCACATTAACATATTCCCTTAATTTAAGTCTGCTTGGGCTCTTGGGATCCTTGATCTGTCAGAAATGGTGTAGGATCTCCTGCTTTGGGGGGGGGAGGGGTTGGACTAGATGACCTACAAGGTCCCTTCCAACTCTAAATTTGTAAACTCTGGCCATGGGACCAGCCAAGATGGCTCCTATGCATCCTTCCTGCTGGTTTGTTCCCCAGTTTGCAGATGATGGAAAGGTGCCCTTGGCAAGATCAAAGCCTTCTCTTCCCCTCTGGCTCCGCCCCTTGTTGGTTTAGCCACGCCCCCTCGATCTTGCGGACACCTTACCAGAGAAGGGGGGGGCAGGCACTTCTTGCCTCGGCGAGACTTCTGCTCTGCCATTGGCTGCTTTTAGCCCCAGCCCACCAGCTCGTCCAATCGCAAGGCTCGAGATTCTTCTCCGCATTTCTCCCAGGCCGCTGAGAGCGAACCCTTTTTTTTTTCTTCCCCGCCCTCCTTTGTAATACTTTTGGCCTTTGCCGGCTGCCGTCCGGACCAAGCGCGAATCCTCTCCGGCGGGCGAAAGAAACGAGGGAGCGCGGCTTGGCGATCGGGAAGAACGAAGCTGCAAGGGGGGAGGGGGCCCGCCGGCTCTCTTCCTCCGCCGCCGCGATGTCCGTCCTCAGCTGGAAGCCGTTCGTCTACGGGGGATTGGCCTCGCTGGTGGCCGAATTCGGTGGGTGAGAGAGATGGAGAAGAAGGTCTGGGCCGCGCACGCATGCGCGGTTTCTCGGACGCCTCCCCTTTCGAGTTTCTGGGCTGTAGGCCACGCCCTTTCCCCCCGGCGCCTAGCAACGCCGCAACCCTGCTCCGCTGCGGCCTAGTTGTTCCGCCTCGGTCTGCGGAGACTGGGCGAAGCAAGGCAGGAAAATCGGTTGGGCGGGCAGGTTTTGGCCCAGCTCTTTTCCCCCACCCCAAGTCACTGTCTAACAGTTGACCTTAACTGTCCAGTCTTTATTTTGGAGAAAGCATCACAATGCCACAGTTGTTGCTGTGTAAACAAGTGTGACACCGCAAAGGTGCTGTTTTTTTCAAAGAGGCAACTGGACTTTCTGGTTTTTTTTCTTTGAAGACGTTTCGCTTCTCATCCGAGAAGCTTCTTCAGCTCTGGCTGGATGGTGGGGAATGGAAGGAGTCGCCACCCAATCAGAGCTGAAGAAGCTTCTCTGGTGAGAAGTGAAACGTCTTCAAAAAAACAAAGAAAAAAACCAGAAAGTCCAGTTGCCTCTTGAAAAAAGCACCTTTGGGACCACCCTCACCTGGATGACTGAGACATCCAAATTTTCATCTGACAAGATTGAGTACAGGTGGTCCTCAACTTATGACCATAATTGAGCCCCCAATTTTTGTTGCTAGGCAAGCCCCACAAGAAACAACCTTGAACTATGGTAACTCATGGGTTAGTCTTTCATAATGATCCCAACAATATTGCTGTACAGGTAATCCTTGACTTAACAACCACAATGGACCCCAAAATTTAGGTTGCTAAGTCAGAAATTGGCTACGTGAGTTTTGCTCCATTTCTTGCTAGCGTTGTTAAGTGAATCGCCATAATTGTTAAGCTAGCGACACGGGCTGAGTGACTCTGTCTTCCCTGTTGACTTGGCTTGTCAGAAGATTGGAAAAGGGGCATCATGTGATCCTGGGACTCTGCAACCATCATAAATATGAATCAGTTGCCAAGTATCTGAATTTTGACCACCTAGGAAGGCTGCCATGGTCGTAAGTGTAAAAAATGGTCATAAGTCACTTTTTTCAGTGGTGGTATAATTTTGAACCGTCGCTAAATGAAGTGTTGTAAGCCGAGGACTACCTGTAGTCAGTGGAAAGACTTCCCACCAGAAATTGTGGGTGCTCCAACTTGGCTGGAGGTTTTTAAGAAGAGATTGGACAACCATTTGTCTGAGCAGGGGGTTGGACTAGAAGACCTCCAAGGTCCCTTCCAACTCTTTGTCATTTTGTTAAAATGTTAACTTACCTTTGCTAAGTAGAAACAGGAAAGCAAGGTATGTTACAGGTCTTCCCCCATGAAGGAGGTCCATCTAGTGGGATCAAGAAGAAAGGCCTGCTCTGTGATGGCTCCCTTTCTTTGCTACATCATCCCTGGAAAAATAAGATTTTTCCCACCTTGGTACTGTTTTAAAAGGCAATCCAGGAAGACATGTTTCTGCCAATGGACCTGGAGACCAGGGAAATACGGAGCCCATCAAGCGATTGATTTGATTGTTGTCTGGGGGCTGAGATTTATTAGGTTTTGTATTTGGGGATTTTATTTCTGTAAACTTCGGGGTCACTGAATTGGGCATCCATAGACATTTTCTTAATAAATGTTAATAAGAATTATACCCACTAGAGTTGTACGTCTGAGAATCAGTCAGTCTGCACAAAGCGTAAGATGGAAGACTCAAAGACCAAAATCAAGAAAGACGTGCAGAGACTTTGAAGCAGATTCCTTTATTGTTCCTCACCTCTAGACAGAATCTTGCCAAAGTAAAGCAATTACTTGCATCATTAAATATATACTCTGAGAAGGTCTAGGAAGAGTCTTGTCTCTCTTCTTCCCAACCAAAAACTACTTACTGTCTCTTATTTTGCAATGCACTCCCTCCCTGCTGGGAATCTGGACTACATTTCACCACAAAGACCATTGCAGAATCCCCCTGTTAATTCTTTACAGCTCTTGGGGCGCTTGTACTATGAAGAATTTTATTAGATCAAGATTAATAGTTCGGCTAGCTTCAAACCCCCTTTGGCTCTAGGAAAAAAAGGCAGATCTGTGACTGTGCTTTAGTCAATTCTACAAATTGTGAAACAGGTAACATGTTTGAGCAGTTATTAGATCATTTCTGTTATGTGAGTCAGTGACTTCTTCTATCCTAGGGACCTTCCCTGTGGATCTCACCAAAACACGGCTTCAAGTCCAAGGACAAAGCATTGATTCCCGTTTCCGAGAGATCAAGTATCGGGGCATGTTCCATGCCTTGTTCCGCATCTCCAGAGAAGAAGGCATTCTAGCATTGTACTCTGGGTAAGTACAGCTTCCATTTCCTCTATGTGCAGCTTCTTTCCTACCACACAAAGGTAGTCCTCGACTTACCACAGTTCATTTAGTGACCGAATTTACAACAGCACTGAAAAAAGGGACTTATGGCCATTTTTCATGCAGAATCCCCAGGGTCACATGATTTATGTTGGGATGCTTACCAATTAATTCCCTTTTGCAACCTTCTGACAAGCAAAGTCGGTGGGGAAACCAGATTGAGTTGCGGTGGCGCAGTGGTTAGAGTGCAGTACTGCAGGCTACTTCTGCCGACTGCTGGCTGCCTGCAATTTGGCAGATCGAATCTCACCAGGCTCAAGGTTGACTCTCAGCCTTCTTCCCTTCCGAGGTGGATAAAATGGGGACCCAGATTGTTGGGTGCAAGAGACTGACTCTGTAAACCGCTTAGAGAGGGCTGTAAAAGCACTGTCAAGTGGTATATAAGTCTAAGTGCTATTGATATTGCTATTCGTGTAACAGTCATGGTACTAACTTAACAACTGCAGTGATTCAGTTAACAAATGTGACAAGAAAAGTCATAAAATGGGGCAAAACTCACTTAACCAATTTCTGAACTTAGCAACCTAAATTTTGGGGTCAGTTGTGGTTGTATGTGGAGGACTTGTACTACCTGTACAGCCATATTGTTGGGTTCATGCGAAAGACTAACCCATGAGTTAGACAGTTCAGGGTTGCTAGTTTTGGGGCTCGGCAAAATGAAGTGTGGGAGTGCTGCTGTTTTCCTAGCTGGATCATTGTTGTTCTTTGTGTGTTGCAGAATCGCACCGGCATTATTAAGACAAGCATCTTACGGCACCATAAAGATTGGTATATACCAGAGTTTGAAACGACTCTTTGTGAACCGTTTAGAAGGTTAGTATGCTAAGGAAACCTTGTGGGTCCTTCTCCCCCCGCCTTCACAAAGCTATAAAATGTCAGATCTATTAATTGATAATCATTCTGGCTGTGGCTCATCTGAGCTGCTGGACTTTCAAATTCCCAAGATGGGCAAAGCGAGTGCTGGAAATTCACACATAAAAGTAGAAAATCACCTACGTTCCATATCTTTACGTGCTTTCATTCGTTTGTTTTTTTTACCCTTGAGACTGAATTAGGCTTTTCTCTCCTCAATCTATACTTCTGATTCTTCTTCCTACATCATTTTTGGGATGATTTTCTCTTGTTGCATTGAATTCAGACCCCAAATGGTGTTCATTATCAATCATAAGAGCTGCGGTGGCACAGTGGTTAGAGTGCAGTACTGCAGGCTACTTCTGCTGACTGCCAGCTGCCTGCAGTTCGGTAGTTCGAATCTCACCAGAGTTAACAACGTTAACTCAGCCTTCCATCCTTCTAAGGTGGGTAAAATGAGGACCCAGATTGTTGGGGGTGATAGGCTGATTCTGTAAACCAGTTAGAGCGGGCTGTAAAGCACTGTAAAGTGGTATATAAATCTGTGTGCTATTGCTATTCATCAATAGCTGTATTGAAGCAAAAGCTGTGGGGAGCACACCAGGATATGCCTGTACAGATGTTTTTATCCGAGACAACCTGGTCTCTTTTCTAGATGAAACAGAGGGGACGAAGGGGAAATGCTTGGTCATGGAGGCAGGAAGGTTGCTGCAGCAAGCAAAGTCCAGGCCTTCATTCCCCTCACTTGTTTCTACAGGTTGTCCTCGACTTACAACACTTCATTTAGTGACCATTTGAGGTTACAAAGCTGCTGAAAAGAGTGACTTGTGACCATTTTTCACCCTTACTACTGTTGCAGTATCCCCGTGGTCACTTGATCAAAATTCAACTGCTTGGCAAGTGATTCACATTTATGACGGGTGCCATGTCCCAGGATCATCCAATTGCCTTTTGTGACCCAGAGTCAACAGAGTGGCCAGATTTCACTTAAAAACCATGTTACTAACTAAACAGCCACAGTGGTTCACTTAACAAGTGTGGCAAGAAAGGTCGTAAAACGTAGGAAAAAAATCACTTAACAACGGTCTCACGTGGCAACATAAATTTTGGACATAAGTCGAGGATTACCTATACTTGATTTCCCCCCCCCCCTTTTTTTTTGACATTTTCATAAATCAGGATCAAGTCCCTGGATGCACAGTTCTGTTTTCCTTGACGAAGACTAGAATCCAGTCCCAAAGGTGCTTTTTTTTTTCAAGAGGCACCTGGAACTTCCTGCTTTTTTTCTTTGAAGACGTTTCGCTTCTCATCCCAAGAAGCTTCTAGAAGAACTGAAGAAGCTTCTTGGAAGAGAAGCAAAACATCTTCAAAGGAAAAAAAACAACAGAAAGTTCCAGGAGCCTCTTGAAAAAAAAGCACCTTTGGGACCACCATAACCTGGATGATGAGGAATCTCCATAGACCTTAGAATCCAGGGCTTTTCTTCTTAAAAAACCACACCTCTGAATGTTGTCATTTTGACACTCGTTCCAAAATTCAAAACGGGAACGTCATACTGATAAAAATCCAAGTGTTTTGCTGCCCTGCCTGCCTTTTCATCACCCACCGAATTGCCTCTGCCTTACACTTATCACATGTGCTGTGTTGTGGTCTCTGCTTATGGGAACTATGTCTTAAATGTTTGTTTTCCTGCAGGCCCTGGGCAAAGAGTGACCCGGTCTCTTTGGAGAGTGCTGCGGTCAGTACCTGCCCTCCCCAGCCTAACTCTGCTCTAACTCTTGGCTCTTCCTCTCTGAACTAATTCTCTAATCATGTTGGCTGGGTTTTTTGTGTTTTGTTTTTTTTTTAGTTCTGGTTCTCAGATTCTACTGAATCTCTATGAAATATTGTCCCAAAGGTGCTTTTTTTCAGGAGGCAGCTGGACTTTCTGATTTGTTCTTTGGAAGACATTTTGCTTCTCCTTCAAGAAGCTTCTTCAGCTCTGAACAGGAGAGTGGGGAATGGAAAGATAATCTGTGTCTTCAGGGACAGACTTTTAGCTATACAATTTGGGATGAACACTCTTGTGGAATGGTGTGAGAGTAGGAATGGAGGAAAAATGGCAGACTATAGGAACCAGGAGCGCTACTCAGATGACCCTGAGGACACAGACAAACCTCCAAGTGGCCTCAACGACCTTCTAAAAGGATGCAAATGACCAGCTGTTTGCAAGGAATATACTGGTAAATCCTTCCATTCCCCACCATCCGGTCAGAGCTGAAGAAGCTTCTTGGATGAGAAGTGAAACGTCTTCAAAAGAAAAAACAAGAAAGTCCAATTGCCTCTTGAAAAAAGCATCTTTGGGACAACCAGGACCTGGATGACTGAGAATCTCTACAGGCTTGCTATCAAAAATTCTTTCTGCATATACACCTCCTGGGAATCTTAAAGGATTGGGTGGCATTCCTTTTTTTAGAATCTTAACAATTCTGGAAAAAAGCAAGGAAATTGGTTCATCTACTTCTTGCTTTAGACTTTAACGATCTAGAAAAAGAATGGTTTGAATGGAATCCTGAAGATTTGCAATATCTTTAGGTACAAGAAAAGAGATGGTTAGAAAATCTGAGCACCTGGTCTTTCCCTAAAAATAAATAAATTTGTGTGTGTGTATATTCTTGTTCACCTTTACTTTTCCTTCCTGAAATCTACTTCTGTTGCCTTTTCTTCTTGAGAAGAGTTTTGGGCTATACCATGTTCTTCCTAATTGCAGATGAAACGTTATTAATCAATGTCATATGTGGAGTGATTTCAGGGGTGATCTCCTCTGCTTTGGCTAACCCGACAGATGTATTAAAGGTAAGAGGAGTCTTCCTTGCTGGGTACCGGTTGCTTCTGGGCTCATCCCTGGTCTGTTTATGCTTTTTATTTTTTTACTTCCTGGCAGTTTTCAAAATTCTATAACTATGATTCTAGCAGCCCTGCTCTGTCTTTTTTTTAACAGTTTATTTATACATTTTGATTTAACATACCTAAGTGCTTTGGGAACAGTGTATTGTCTGGGTCAATTTGCTCACATAATAATGCTTTTCCAGCTCCTAATTTCTACCTCTGTTATCCAGCCATTTACAAAACAAGTCCCATGTTCGAAAACATTCTATCTTCTTTTTCTTTTATCTTTAATGTCAGTCTGTCCATTTTGGCACAATCTAATATTTTTTAAATTATATCTTCGTCTCTCGGTATTTCCTCATTTTTCCAGTGCTGTTGCAAATACAATACTTGCTGCTGTCACAACATGTAGTATTAAATACAAATTCCCCTTATCGTACTTTTCTGGCATACCTAGCAAAAATATTTCTGGCTTATAATCTATATGTAGCTTTTACATTTTTTCTAACCACGTATTTTTGTCCAACATTTCTTCGCTTTCACACATGTCCACCACATGTGATAGTATGTACCCAGTGTCTGGTTACATTTAGCAGCCTTGCTCTATCCATACAGGTAGTTCTCGACTTACAACCAGGGGTGGGATTCTACCTGGTTGGACCAGTTCTATAGAACCGGTTGTTACAATTCTGTGCAGTTCGGAGAACCAGCAAATCACATCAGTAGTGGATCCGCCCATCCCACCCACTCACGCCTTACCTGGCATGTGTGCCATCAAACTTGCCTGCGTAAGTTGCTATTTTTTTCCCCCGACCCTCAGCTGTGCTGCTATGCCGGGAGATTTAGATTAGCTAGAAATCAGGAAATAGTTGGGTTTCTTGCTTTCTAGCTAATCTAAAAGCAGCGCTGAACCTTCCTTAGGACTGAAGCTTCTATTTTTCAGTGCAGACTCAGGCAGCAGATTGCAGAAAGGTAGATCTCTGAGTGAATCTGTGATTCTGCAAGCAACTCAATCTGCCTGCCTGCTTTGCCTGCTTTTGGGTGAAAGTTGCTCTTTTTTAATAAAAAAAATTCAATATTTACATAAATATTTATAGTATTTACATACAAGCCATGCCCAGCCAGACACATGACCACCAAGCCACACCCACAAATTAGACCGTGGCCACAGAACCGGTTGTTAAGAAATTTGAATTCCACCCCTGCTTACAACAGTTCATTTAGTAACCGTCCAAAGTTACAACATCCCTGAAAGAAGTGACTTATGGCCGTTTTCACACTCAATGGCCATCCCAGCATCCCCGTGGTCACGTGGTCAAAATTCACCTGTTTGGCTACGGACTTACGTATTTATGAAGGTTGCAGTGTCCAGCAGTCCCGTGATTCCCCTACTGCCACCGTCTGACAAGACAAAGTCAATTGGGAAACTGGTTTCACTTAACTCTGCTACTAATTTACTAACTGCAATGATTCACTTAACAACTGGGGCAAGAAAAGTGATAACATCGGGGCAAAATTCACTGAACAAATGTTTCGCTTAGCAATGGGCATTCTGGTGCTCAATTGTGGTCGTACGTGGAGGGCTACCTGTAGATTGCAGATAGTCCTCGACTTATGACTAAAACAGAGGACAGAATTTCCTTCGTCAGTCACGACGTCGTAAATCAAGGCACCTATGTAACTAACCCAATTTTATGACCTTTTATGCAGCAGTTGTTAAGTGAGCCAATGCACTCCTATGGATATTTTTTGCTGGTAGTTTCTGGGCAAAAATGTCATAAATCATATCACGTGACCACGCAATGCTGAAACTGGCTGTAAAAGGTGAGACGACTGCCAAACATCTGAAATGCAGCTATGTCGCCGTGGGGTTTGTGTGCTGTGTGCCATTTTGGGGGGATCTTTTCTAACTTCAAACCATTGCTAAGTGACTAGCAAGGACTTTTGCTATATCCTGAGGAATCTGCCTGGTAAAACTTTTAGAGCCTGATTTGCAGACTTGATCCAGCTATCGAAGACTAGCAATGGGCAACTTCTCTTCACTAGACTAGCAATGGGTATGTCTAACCTAGTGAAGAGAAGGACCAGGGGAGACATGATAGCAGTGTCCCAATATTTAGGGGCCTGCCACAGAGAGGAAGGGGGCATCAAGCTATTTTTTAAAGCACCCAAAAGCCAGAAAAGGAATAATGGATGGGAACTGAACAAGGAGAGATTCAACCTGGAAATAAGGGGAAATTTTCTGACAGTGAGAACAATCAACCAATGGAACAGAAGTTGCCTTCAGAAGTTGTGGAAGCTTCATCACTGGAAGCTTTCAAGAAGAGACTGGACTCCCATCTGTCGGAAATGGTGTAGGGTCTCCTATTTGAGCAAGGGGTTTGTATGACCTACAAATGAACCAGTGGAACAGCTTGCCACCAGAAACCGTGGGCGCTCCATCACTGGAGGTTTTTAAGAGTCTAGACAGTCACTTATCTAAGATGGTTATAGGTTCTCTGCTTGAGCAGGGGCTGGACTAGAAGACCTCCAAGGTCCCTTCCAACTTCTATTCTATTCTATTCTATTCTATTCCATTCCATTCCATTCCATTCTATTCATCTAATATCTTTTCCAGATCCGTTATTTTGTATTCGGTATCTGGCCTTTCCCAATCTACGCTAGCATGGGATTCTAGAACCTCTGATCTCTATCCACCTAGAGAGCACCAGATGGAGGAAGGCTGGTGTAAAGTAAATGGTTATAGAGAAAGTGTGAAGGAGCTGTAAAAGTTTGAGTTACCCTGCAAGGCTGGGAATGAATATTCATGCTTAATACCTTGGACTCCAAGCAATAAAGTTGGGTCATAGGTGGCTCCCCTATTTCCACCGACTTCCCTGCTCTCTTCATTTTCAGATTCGAATGCAAGCTCAGGGCAGCCTGTTCCAGGGAGGCATGATTGGAAGCTTCATAGACATCTACCAGCAAGAAGGCACACGAGGCCTCTGGAGGGTAAGGGCTTCTTGTATCCCCTCCCACTCTCCATGTCTTTTGTTGTTGCTTCCAAAGGAAAATGTGGAGAAGGCTTGTCTTAAGATGGTTTTTATCATGTTTACATTCTGACTTTGCTCAGGTGTCAATACTCCCTGAATGTGATTGTTTTTTTTTTGCAGGCGTTTCATTACCAAACTAGATAACTCCATCAATGCTAGAAGGGGCTGGGGTTTGTGGAGTGGAGGAGGAGGAGGACTCTGGGGTCTTTGGAGGTTTCTGTGCTTAGTTGTGTTCTTGCATGGGTGTTTCATTATCTAATTAGGTAACATCATCAGTGCTCTGATTTTCCTCTGAGTACATATGACAGTGCTCAAAAGAATCACCCCTCATTTCATTGTCACTTCCATAATGCTGTGAGTTTGGTTGTTCTAAAAAAAAAAAGTATTACTGGCTCAAAGTTATGAGCCAGGGTGGCACAGTGGTTATAGAGTGCAGCATTGCAGGCTAATTCAACTCACTGCCAGCAGTTCGGTCCTGACTGGCTCAAGGTTGACTTGGCCTCCCATCTTTCCGAGGTGGGTAAAATGAGGACCCAGATTGTTGGGGGCAAGAGGCTGACTCTGTAAACCATTTAGAGAGGGCTGTAAAGCACTATAAAGCGGTATATAAATCTAAGGGCTATTCAGTAGACTTGAACCTGCTGTCCATCAGCTTAAACATGTTGAATGTAAGATTCGGTCCTTAGGCAGATGTGGCTGATTCTAGAATTTTTAGAATCACAGTTCTCTATGAAAGAAATTTATAAACGTGGTGGTAGCAATCACAAAAATAAAAAAATAAAAAATTGGAAGAGAGATCTCTAATAGTGGAATAATTTTAATACTTTCCCTCAATTGAAGTGTTGTCCTTCTTCATCAGGGTCCCTTATTTTTGATTTTCAGGGACCTGCCAGTAAGAGCCTAATTCTCTAGAGGAACGAGAATGGCAAAGCAAGCAAGCAAGCAAGCAAAATAACGTAACCCAGAATAATGCATAGCAAATAATAGATTTTAATTTTGGATATGAAATCAGGGTTTTGCCAAAAGAGAAGTTGATCAATCAGGTGTACAGATCTGTCTTTTTAAAGGAGTATTGTAAGTGTCTTGAGATCAGATCTAAGAGCCAGTGGACTGTTATTTTCCCTCCGAAAAATGAAGCAACCCACAAATTTTCAAAACAGCTAAGAATGGGATAAAAATGGAAGTTATATGATAGTGGGTGATTGATTGAGATGTCGTGGCTGAAGCCATTCTAACTTCTGGTCTTTTCTTTGGCTAGGGTGTGGTTCCCACTGCTCAGCGAGCTGCTATTGTGGTAGGAGTTGAGTTACCAGTCTATGACATCACTAAGAAACACTTAATACTTTCAGGACTCATGGGAGACACAATTCTGACCCATTTTATGTGAGTACCTGCCACTGTACTGGCAGTTAATCTAAATATATTTTTCTCAAGTTCTGTGGGCTGTGAAACGAAGTATGGATTATGGGCATGGAGTAAGTAGTCAAGAGCTCACATTTTGGCATTGTGGAGTTTTCCCTGTGACTTCTGGAAATCATACATCCTTCCAGTGGGTGGCTACTGGCGTTCCACTAAGCCACATTATGGACTAGTTTAGTTTTGATTCAGAGTGACATGTGAACCCAGCTCTATAAACCAAGGTTTATGGTTCAGTATTATGGATAATCTAGAGCTTGTAGCATTTAAATATAGCAAGAACAAATGTGAATGCATGTTAGAAACTGTAAGGAGCAAAGAGATGTAACACCTCTGTCAAAGCCATCTTCTAGGGAAGCACTGGCATTACTGTTCTTAAAAGTTTACGTGAATTGTGGAAAACTCAGAGGACAAATCGGTCATTCTGCCACACGCAATTAAAACTTGTGGTTCCCTTCGCACATTTTCTTCCAAGAATTACCCTGAGCCTATTCCTGAAATCAGTGCCACATTAGAAGGAAGGAATTCACAGTCTCTAGTTACTCTGTGAGATGCATCAGCTTTTAAACAGGTTTCTTCTATGCTTGTCTGTCCAGTTCCAGTTTTACCTGTGGATTAGCTGGTGCCGTAGCTTCGAATCCGGTGGACGTGGTTCGAACCCGCCTGATGAACCAGCGGGCCATAGTGGGAAGCGTGGAGCTGTATAGGGGAACAATAGACGGCCTGCTAAAGGTAAGAACTACAGGGTAACCATCTTGAGGGAGTCAGGATTAGCGGAGTGGAGTGATTCAGGGATGCTGGACTAATAGTTGGGGCACCTGGTTCATTCCCACCCTAAGTGATGGAAATGCCTTGGTTGACTTGGTCCCTGTCTCCTTCTCTACAGCCTACTTTTCTTGCTGTGGTGGGAGCAGTATAGAGGGGTGAAATGGGAATCCCCCGATGGGGTGCTCCAAGCTCCTAAATAAAGGCAGGATGTAAAACTAAGAAATGTTGGGGCAACACAGAAGGTGTAAATCAGGATGTATTTTGAATGTGGTTTCTTATCGCCTGTACAGACTTGGAAGAGTGAGGGTTTCTTTGCACTTTACAAAGGCTTCTGGCCAAATTGGTTGAGACTTGGTCCCTGGAATATCATTGTATCCTTTTGTACGCCGGGCAAAGGCCCCATCATGCAGGGAAAGCTGGGGGAGGTTTTTGAAGCAATTATCCATCACAGCCAAGAGTTTTTTAGACGTGGCAAATTTCCTGCAAAGGCTGAAGTTACCCAAAGCTATTCTGACCTAATTCAGCATGTTGTGTGGACCTGTTTGTTATTATATACCAGAACAATGACTCATTTTTTACTGAGCTAGGTGAGCCTTGCATGTTAAACAACATTTGCTCTATGCACTTAATTTGGATTGCTGTATCAACTCACGGGTTTAGACAGCGTTTTGAGTGGTTAATCGATCGTGTTTGATTCACACCACTAGCTGAATCCCAAAAACGAAGAAAGCCAGGGCCAACTTGAGGCACCCTTGAACTCCTGTGCAAAGGGAGTTTCTGAATTTTTAACTGATATGATTAAGGAGCAATTTAGTTTTCCCAAGCGATTTGTTCTGCAGAGACATCTGAACGGTGCATTTTGTTCAAGGTGTGCTGATGTATTTGGGAATTGAATAATTCTACCATACTTCGGGGAGCAGAGAAGAGCTACTGAGTAGATTCTATCCTTATCAAATCTGGTTGCTGGATCATTAAGGCCTGAGAAAGACACCTGTTCAAGTGACAGGAGAACCCTGCCAAATTTGATATTCGTGATGCACTTGGGTTTTTAGCTCATCTTTGGGTAGCTATCCAGAGCTGTTCCTTCTACGGAAGCTATATAAAATATCCCCCCTTTTCCTATCATGGTTCTCCAGCATTAGTATCATAGATGATGATTAGCCATTATAATTCCAAAATGTGTGTGTGTGTGGGGGAATTTGTTTATTGCTTTTAATTTTTGCCTTCTTTTCACGCTAATGTATTCCCTTGATTTCTGCAGTTCTAACCCTTTAAGTCTGCTTGGGCTCTTAGGATTGCTGAAATGCAAATCTAGGCATGTTACTTAGCTGGAAATGAGACCCGGAGGAGGGAGGGAAAGATTAGAAATTCCTCCTTTGAAAGTTATTTCTTTAACTGAAGGGCAGTTTTTTATCACCTACGAGCAGCTGAAGAGGCTCCCCTTTTAAGATGCCGGTTTGGATTGGTCGTCCAGCTGCCCTTCCCGTTCCCCTCCATTCCTGCATCTTCATGTATTTTTATTTTTATTTTGGTCTACATGGACTTTGTTTCACCCTCCCATGTGCTGAGTGCTCAGTATTGGGAGGGTGGCTTAAGGGGGGAAGGGGAGGATGGGTCCACAAATACAGTATTCAGAGCCTGGTGCACGTGCTTTGCCCCCCGCAAGGGAGACGGTGGAACATGGAGGGAGAGCACTTAGGTCTGTGTTTGTATCTTCCATGAAGAGAGCTGTGAGTTAAAAACCCTTTTCACTGCCACGTGGCTTTTGCAGTAGGCAATTCCTCTTCCCCCTTTGGCCCGTGCCAGAGGAAAGGGGGAAAGAAGGGTGCTGCTGCAGGCCTCCTTTCATTGCCATACAACCCCATTAAACTATTTATTGGAACCCAATCCTGTGGTGCGTGTGCATTTGTATTTCTGCAAATATTAAAAGTTTTCTTCAACGACGGCCTGTTTAAATGGGTCTCTTTTTAAAAGGAGGAAATTAGAATTGCCTGTCCAGCTATGTGATTTATACACCTGCCAGGCTTAAATTAATATCCCAGAATCCTGATCCGGTACTGTTGCAAACCAGTTCAAATCCAGAGAAAGGATCACCTGGGTAACCCTCAAAATTCATCCAGGGAATTGTAAGTTTCTGGTTGACTGCAGGATAACCACGCCTGATAACAAAAAAAACCAGAAAGAGCCTGAATTTTAGCAAGCTCCTAAAAGCTTGTGCCTTTTAATAAAATCAGTTAGTGGATGCTACTGGAACCTAAGCCTGATTTTTGTGTGTGTGTGTGTGGCTACAATCAACCAACGTGGCTCCTCTCCTACAAAGAACCTTACATTTCCCATCACCATTTAGCATTGGGCAGATAAAAGTAGCTTTTTAGAATCGTGGCTATGCAAGTCACGGTTACGGAAAGAGATGTCACTAGCAAAAGGCAATGAATCCCTGACCATGCAATTCAGCAACACAGGTGCAGGACAACACAGTGGGCAATAAAAATACCCATGCAGCATGTCCCTGGGGAGGTGGGGGGGATGTTACTATGATGAAAGAAAATAAGGCTTCAGCCTGATGGATTCTTCAGCCCTTCAAGCAAGCAGAAACGTGTGTGACAGTTCCGTGCATAACCCAGGATCTCCACAATACCGGTCACAACAATCTAGCAAATGTAGAGAGTTGGAATGATCCCTCTCAACTTCCTTGGTCCACCGGAAGCGGTTTGCAGAATTGGCACTGGAAGTTTTCCCAGTCACAACAGTCTCCACCCACACTGGAATTGGAGCGACATCTTTGTCACGCTTTTGGGACAACACACCAACTGCTGTCGATAAGATGATTGGCAGCTTTCCCAGATGGCATTTCAGCTCGATTCCCGCCCCCCCCTCTCCCGGGCTCCGGCCCTTTCGCTAATATTCCTCCTTCTGTTTTTTTTTTTCAGCCATCGTTCACTCCTCCATAAGCTTGTTTTTGTAAGGGCAAACACAATCAAGGGACAATAAAACAGACTCAGTGGGTAATTACTCGGAGCTTATGTTTGCATACTCCAGACTTTCTTTGACATCATTGGCACAATTAAACACCATGAGTTATTAAAGTTTAGATAAAGGCTCTCCTTCCTTAGCAGCGATATCCCACAACATTTTTCATTAGCCAGTGGCTTGCTAACAGAGAATGGTTGTTTATTACCTGGAAGGAATTTTTTAAAAAGGCATTAATTTCCTCCCCTGCTCTGTGTTCCCCAATGTTATGGTCACCTAGATCTGAGAATTATTTACATGGATAACCAAATGGTAGTACTGCGAGAAAACCCTGTAAAGCAACTTGAAGACACGTGGACTTCAAATCCCAGAATTCCCCAGCCAGCAGAATTCTGGGAGTTGAAGGCCACAAGTTGTAAAGTTAGTCACGTTTTGGAGACCTCTGCTGTAAACCATTGTTGCCTTTCCTTCTAGGCTGCAATCTGCAGGGTAGAATACAACATCCCTAATTCGTGAGATTGTAAGAAAGATTTGAAGAAGATTGACATCAGTCTGTGTTCCATCCTGCGTTTGCATGCTTAATTTTGTTCCGGTTTTCTTCCCAGGGAGTTAGAACGATAATGGACCTAACTGCTTTCTCCATCACAGCAACATTGTGAAGTAGATTAGGTCAACCCAAAGATGCTTTTTCAAGAGGCAACTGGACTTTCTGGTTTTTCTGTAAAGACATTTCGCTTCTCATCCAAGAAGCTTCTTCAACTCTGACAGGATGGTGGGAATGGAATGATTTATATTCCTTGCAGACAGCTGGTCATTAGCATCCTTTTAGAGGGTCGTTGAGGCCACTTGGAGGTTTATCTGTGTCCTCAGGGTCACATGAGGAGTGTAAATAAGTGTGGAAGGACCCATTTATCTGAGGACACAGACAAACCTCCAAGTGGCCTCACTAAAAAGAATGCAAATGACCAGCTATCTGCAAAGAGTCTAAATCCTTCCATTCCCCACCATCCAGTCAGAGCTGAAGAAGCTTCTTGGAGAAGCGAAATATCTTCAAAGAAAAAACCCAGAAAGTCCAGTTGCCTCTTGAAAAAGCACCTTTGGGACAACCATGACCTAGAGGACTGAGAATCTCCATAGACATGTAGATCAGGTTACGGCCACCTGCTCAGGATCGGCCAAGACAAAAGTATAAACTAGGAACTTCTGGAGCAAACTTTAGCCCTCTACTTTGGTTGGGGTCTTGGAGTCTTCACTGACAATTGGCTGCCATGTTGGGGTGCAAATGCATTGACATTATCATGCAAATCTTCTCTAAGAATAAGAGCTTGAAACACAAGGCAACAATTGAATGCTGCCAGAGGGAAGGGAAAAAAACCTCTCAACCTCCTTCCAATATTAAACGTGGCCTTTGAACATCCCCCATCTTAATCTCACACTGTCCCAGACATCAGTTTAAACATTTCCCACTTTGGCCTCTATGAATCCGGCTTGTTTGGTCCTGCTGCATCATGTGGCGTATGTTGTCACTGTTAATGCACAAAAACAAGGCTAATTCAGTTTGTGTTCAACAAGGTGCGGTTCCTGTCCTCTGTTTCCATAGAGAAGATACACAAGTGTTATATAATTGGAAGCTTTTGAAACCTTAAGATTCCACTTCTTGCTTTGCCATGGCTCATTTATCTGGATCCAAGCTATTAATGTCGGGGAGTAAATAGGGTCCATCTGCCAATCTAAACGAACAGGAAGTCATCAGGATGCAATCTCTTCGCGAATGGCGGAAAACAAGTGATTTTATCAACTTAATGGAAAGGGTCTCCATTTTGGTTTGGTTGCATTGTAAAAATAAAATGTGTTCCTTTTTCTGTCGTAAAGAAACAGAACTTCATAGTAGTACTGTATTTCCCCCATTTTTTTTATTATGATATATTTATGGGAGCCAAAGAGTAAAAACCTCAAGACTTGACCTCATCTGACCGCAATTGACCTTGTTCTTGTAAAAAGCAGCAGTTAACCCTCTATAGAAAATCAACTGTATGTTATGACTAAGCTGCCATTATTCTTTTGTCAGAACCCATGAGCCAATAAATGCATAGATAACCTCAAGAACTATCCAACATCTCTAGATGATCCAAAATGGGAGCTTCTTTGGGACCAAGGTTCTTGATTCCTTTCCAGCGTTAGGTCTAGAGTTTGAGATTCTCTTGGTCAGGGCTCTTCAAACTTGACCGCTTTAAGACTTGTGGACTTCAACTCCCAGAATTCCTCCTCCAGTCATGTTAGCTCAGTAATTCTGGGAGTTGAAGTCCACAAGTCTTAAACTTGCCAAGTTTGAAGACCCTTACTCTTGGCACTGCCATCACCGCCCTTTACAGCTTAGTGATAATGTACAATTATGAAGAAATAAACAGCTTCGTAAGTTGGAGATACACCCAGTGGTCAGTGGCCCTGAACTTCTTACTGCTATGGGGTGGAAAAAAATCAGGAAACCTGATTTCTGCTCCCATTGGAATAATATTGGTTCTGGACAGAAGACTGGGTGAAACATAAGAGAAGAACCTTACCACGAGATAATGTCCCCAGAGTGGCATTTTTTAAAATCTACACCAGTCCTTCAGCTAAGCTAGTGAGATGATACAGACTGGTTCCCCAGGCTGGGCGGGAGCAGCATCAGACTGACTGTCAAAGTGAAAAAGAGGAAAGATTTTGTTCTTCAGGCCCAGACACATCTGATAGATCTCCAGGCGCACTTCCTTCTGCCAATATCCATAGATGAGGGGATTTGCTAGAGAGTTGCACACGCCCAACACCCAGAGGTAGTGTTCCAGCAGGCGATGGAGGTAGCAGCGTTGGCAGGCAATCTGGACAATGCTCACCACAAAGAAAGGGGACCAGGAGAAGGCAAAACAACCCACCAGGATGGCCACAGTCCGCAATGCTTTGGTATCATTGGAAGGCTGAGAGGTTGGGCAGGCAGCTGGCAGGCCCACGGGTGCCAGTTCTCGGATGTGCTGGATGTGCAGCGAAGCAATCTGGAGCAATCGGCAGTGGAAATAGAGGAAGACGAAGAAAACGGGGAAGAAGCTGACGCAGAAGACCACCAGGGTGTACGTCGGCTGAAACACGCCGAAGAAGGTGCACAGACCTTGGTAGTTCTTCTCTTGGAAGCTGTGGACCATCACAGGGAGGAAACTGATCAGACAAGCCAGCAGCCAAGGACTCCCAAGGCAAATCACGACCACCGGGCCACACATGATTCTGAAGTAGCGGAAAGGATGCGTAATAGCCAGGTACCGGTCAAAGGTGACCAAAATCACCGTGAAGATGGAGGCAGCAGAGGGGCAGGTGATGGAAGCCATCTTCAAGACACAGTACCGCCGAGGGGTCTGGTATTCAGGACCAGAGAGTTCTTCGTTCACCAGGCCCGTGATGGTGAAGCCCACCAAGTAGTCGGAGATAGCCAGGCTTAAAACAAAGCACAGGCCAGGGCAATGGTTCTTCCAGACCAGCCGCACCAGCGCAATAACCGCCACACAATTGACTAGCATAATCAGCGAAGCCAGCAAAGCAAGGATGACGCCAAAGGCAACGCTTCCCATACTGATGATGCCTTTTCCGGAGCAAGGTAGGCGTAGAGTCCCTTAAAAGTCAGTCTAAACGCAGGCCCTTCTTGGAGCGTCTTTCAAGGGGCTTCTCCAGGTTGAGAAGCCAGCTAATAAAAGCTCAGAACTCCTCGGGAGGTGAAAAGCTGGGTGCATCCTTAGCCATCCTAGCCTGCTGCCTTCTGCAGCCTTTTCGCTGATCACACTGGATATCGCTATTGCTTTGCCTAGTCCCACCCCTGGTTTCCAGACAACGAGAAAAGAAGCCGCTTCCTGGATTTGGCTCTTCAAAAATATTTGAAAAATGGTCTTTGGCCTCTAAAGATGACCTCACAGCATGTGTGTTGTGTGTGTGTGATTTTTGTGTGTGTGTAGATATCTGAAGTCATAAATGATTTCATTATGTTCCTAACTCTTTATAATGAATTCTGTGGAATTAACACAACGGACAAACTTCTTCTAAAAGAACATACTACCGTATGTGGTGGACACATATAGAAGCTAAAAGATACGGTTGGAAAAGATGACAAAACAACATATAGATTTAAAACCTGAGATTTTTTACTGGGGATTTTACCCGAAAACTACAGTAAAGAAAAAAAAACACATTTAATTCTACATATATTAACAGCAGCTAGAATTGTATTTGCACAAAACTGGAAAAATTAAAAGATTCCAATAGAGGAAGAGATGACTATGAAAATATTGGAATGTGCAGAAATGAGTAGATTAACACTGGCAATTAAAGAACAAGAAGAAGCGGAATATTATGATATGGGACTTATTTTATAAATGGTTGGATAATAAAGTTAAGAAGTTAAATAATATTGTTATAATAAGATATATAAGGTTGAGTAAGTTGTAACATGAATGTAATTTTAGTAAGAAATGTATACAAAATATAAACATTTGAACAAGATACGTACCCAGCTGACACACTGTATACCTAAAAGATGGATTTGTTTTAAAATAAAATAAAAAATAAAATAAAATAAAAGACACCGCAATAAAGGCACCTCCATATAAGAACCCCTCTCTCCTCCCCCTCCCCCCTCCTCCTCCTCCCCTGCTCCTCCCCTGCTCCTCCCTCCTCCTATTCTATTCCATTCTATTCTATTCCTTATTCCATTCTCTCTTCTCTTCTCTTCTCTTCTCTTCTCTTCTCTTCTCTTCTCTTCCTCTTCCTCTTCCTCTTCCTCTTCCTCTTCTATTCTAATGTATCATTTCTCCCTCTCAGAAAAAAACTTCTCTTAAACTACATTACCCAGAATTCCCGAGACAAAGCGTCTTACGGTGGCCTCTCGACTTGGCCAATCAGCGAACGCGGAGCAGAACCTTCCGTGACGCTTCGAACCTTGGATGTCGCCCTCTCGACCACGCCCCTGGAGACCGGCTCACCAATGGGAGCGGGCGGAGGCTGCTTGGAGGCGGGGCCGAGGGAAGCGGGCGAGGCCTAGCCGGCGGGGCGGGAGCCACAGAGGAGGCGCGGGCGAAGCCCCCGATGTCTCGGGGGAGCTGCGGACGGAAGCCGGTGGGGCCGATCGTCGGAAGCGTGGGAAGGCGAGGTGAGGCGGAAGGCAAGGCCAGGCCCGCCTTCCTCAGACGCCCCAGTGGCTCGAAGCAGCCGCCCGACCTTCCAAGGCGTCCATCCCCCGGGAGGGACTACAATTCCCATGGTCCCCAGCCCCTCCCGGCAGATCTGGAGGAAGGGCGTGCGGGCCTTGCCGGCTGGGAATGAAGGGCCTTCCCCTTCCCGGCGCTTCCGGGAGATGCCAGCTGTCCCCAGTTGCCTCCCTCTGCTGGCTGGGAAGCATGGGCTTTAGAGTCCTGGCGCATCCTGAAAGGCGTGTCCGCCTGGGCTTTCTATATTGCAGCCTTACCTGCTTCACTGGGGCTGCATAGTTAGCTTCCAGTGCAATGGGAGGGATGCTGCAGTTTTGGCACTTAAAAAAAAAAGCCAAAAAAAAAAAAAAGAATAATAAGATGAAGAGATCCGAATTCAGATCCTGGGAAAGTCCTTGGCTGACTTGAAACAAGATTTATATTCTCGGTTAGAGCAGCTAGCCTGTTTCCTAAAATGCTGGGAAGGTTTTAATTCAGATGTTCAGAGCGGATTTGGCATTTCTGTCCACCTAGGGAAGCCTTCCCAAAGACCTGGGATGCTTAAGAGAAAGTTGCAGTTCAGCATCCCAGCAGAGATTTTAGGGCGTTAACAGATTAACAGAGTTGGAAGGGACCTTGTAGATCATCTAGTCCTACCCCCGGCCCATGCAGGAGGCCCTACACACCATTTCTGACAGGTGGCAGTCCAGCCTCTTGAAAGCTTCCAGTGATGAAGCTCCCTCAACTTCTAAAGGCAAGTCACTCCATTGAATATAGAATAACAGAGTTGGAAAGGACCTTGGAGATCATCTAGTCCAACCCACAACCCAAGCAGGAGACCCTACACACCATTTCTGACAGAGGACAGTCCAGTCTCTTATTGAAAGTCTCAAGTAATGAAGCTCCCACAACCTCTGAAGGCAACTTCTGTTCCACAGGTTGATTGCTCTCACTGTCAGAAAGTTTCTCCTTATTTCCAGGTTGAATCTCTCCTTGTTCAATGTCCATCCATTATTCCTTGTCTGGCCTTCGGGTGCTTTGGAAAATAGCTTGACCCCTTTCCTCTCTGTGGCAGCCCCTCAAATATTGGAAGACCGCTATCCTGTCTCCCCTGGTCCTTCTCTTCCCTAGACTAGCCAGACCCATCGTATGTTGTTTGATGTCTATGGAGATTCTCACTCATCCAGGTCATGGTTGTCCCAAAGGTGCTTTTTCAAGAGGCAACTGGACTTTCTGTTTTTTCTTTGAAGACATTTCGCTTCTCATCCAAGAAGCTTCTTCAGTTTCTGGGATGAGAGAGCTAAAGAAACTTCTTGGATGAGAAGCAAAACGTCTTCAAAGAAAAACCAGAAAGTCTAGTTGCCTCTTGAAAAAGCACCTTTGGGACAGATGTGGTTTGATGATGATAAAGGTATTGTTGCAGGATGTAAGCTATTTTTGTAAAGCTGCCTTTTTGCAATTGACTGGTGGTGATTTTGTCAATAGCGATGTGTTCAAGTGATGTATCATCTTCATCTGCGAATATATTTTATCATCATCATCATCATTTGTGGATAGATCCATGGCCAGTTTGTGAAGTTCCTGCCGGAGTATTTTATTAATCTTATACAAGGATTAGGGTGAAGATTATGTTGCTAAAGTCCTTTCTGTATATAGACATCCATTTCTCACTCTGGTGCCTTCAGAAGGATTTTATTTCATGTGGCAAACTACTGGTTGACTTGGTAGGATGGTGGGATCCAGAACCCAGTACACACAGAGAACATTAAATTGGGTGCTGCAATGGTAAAATTCCCAAATGGCTAGGCAAGCATGCCTAAATTTTAGTACTCAAAAAAAGCACATATATGCTGTTGTTCTCATCCTGTGCTCAAAAGTACTTGCGATATATCTCAGTTTTTAAAGATTTCTGTTGATTCAGTTCTGAATTCAGTATCACAGTTGGCAACCCTAATTTTCAAGCTGTACAATATTGTATTGGGATATCAAAACAGTATAAAATATTTTGGTATGCATCTGGTCCCAACTGAAAGGTTTTTGCTATAAGAAAGGGTGCCAATTATGCCATCCAGGGCTAAGGGTCCAAAAGTTAGACTTTATGATACTTTGATGCTTATCATACTTAAGATATTTAGATTTTAAGAATGATGAAAAGGCCTTGTCAATCAACCTGGGAACAATATTGTCAAGCAGTGCAGACCTCATATAATGCCACCCAGCGCAAGATCTAGGAATTATTCTAGTGCTACATTCTGAGCAAGTGCAATTTCCAAAAAACCCTTCATATGGAGCATGTATGTTGTGGTAATTTTATGTAGATATAATCTGATCAGAATGTCTAGTTTGATATCTTGACCCTTTTTTTATGAAGTTTAACAATGCAGGATTAAACTCTTCTAAACAGTATATCGTGTGAATGCTGAAACTTTGGCATTCTTGGCATGAGAATTGGATAGTTACATCTGTTCCTATTTTAATCTACGAAGAATGCATGACATCTCTCTGAAATCAGACTCCGAGGATGAGGAAGACTTTAAATGTGCTGGGATTAATCTTTCAACCCATTATCAGTATTAGGATATACAAACATTTATATGTAAGCCCAGAGTTACCCTATGGTATTAAATTTTACAATAAATTAAGTCTGGACAGTTGAAGAGAGTATCTTTTCCTTCCTTCCTTCCTTCCTTCCTTCCTTCCTTCCTTCCTTCCTTC